ATCGTGTGCTAAGCTAACGGAATGGGTCATGTCAATCACATCATTCTCCTAATGATGTGATCCCATTAGTCAAATGACAACACATGTCTATGGTCAGGAAACATAACCATCTTTGATCAACAAGCTAGTCAAGTAGAGGCACACTAGTGACACTTTGTTTGTCTATGTATTCACACATGTATTATGTTTCCGATTAATACAATTCTAGCATGAATAATAAACATATATCATTAAATAAGGAAATAAATAATAACTTTATTATTGCCTCTAGGGCATATTTCCTTCAACTTCTTCTCTGCTTGATAATACTGTGCCATTAGGTGAATTTCTTGATGAACAACTTTCTAGGGTTAGATAGAATGAAATTATTGAAACTTATAATATTGATGAAAGTGATGATGAAGATTCTCCCCCTAGATATGAATTGTTTGTTGTGCCTGAGGGTTATGTTATGAATGAAGAAACTTCTAGAGACCTTTTTGCTTGCAAAGATATATATGATCTTAAGAAACTGTTAGCTAAGCTGAAAGAAAAGTCTCTTAATGCTAAAATGAAATATGACCCTGCTTTTGCTACTTCACTTATCTGTGTTACTTATAAGGATTATGAATTCTCTGTCAATCCTGAGTTAATTACTTTGGTTGAATCTGATCCTTTTTATGGCTATGAATCTGAATCTGTTGTGGCACATCTTACTAAATTGAATGATATAGCCACCCTATTTACCCATGAGGTAAAAATTCGCCATTAGTATATCCTTAAATTATTTCAGTTCTCATTAAAGGGTGATGCTAAGATATGATTTAATTCTCTTGCTCCTGGTTGTGTGCATAGTCCCTAGGATATGATTTATTACTTCTCTGCAAAATATTTTCCCGCCCATAAGAAACAAGCTGCCTTAAGGGAAATATATAATTTTGAGCAAATTGGAGAAGAGAGTCTCCCACAAGCTTGGGGGAGGCTTCTCCGATTACTTAATGCTTTTCCTGATCATCCTCTCAAGAAAAATGAAATACTTGATATATTTTATAATGGACTAACCGATGCTTCCAGACACCACCTAGATAGTTGTGCTGGTTGTGTTTTCAGGGAAAGAACTGTTGAGCAAGCTGAATTGCTATTGAATAATATATTGAGTAATGATAATAATTGGACACTTCCTGAACAAAGTCCTAAGCCAACTCCGAAGAAAAGGGGTATACTATTTCTCAGTCCTAAAGATATGCAAGAGGTAAAGAAATCTATGAAAGAAAAAGGTATTAAAGTTGAAGATGTTAAGAATTTGCCACCTATTGAAGAAATACATGGTCTTAATAACCCGACACAGGTAGTAAAGGCAAATTATCTCTATAGATTTGATGAAGGTGATATTCCTCGTAATAAGTCTGCTAGTCAATGCCTGGATGAGTTTGATAATTTTATTGTTAAACAAGAAAACTTCAATGCTTATGTTGGTAGACAATAGAAACGTAATGCTTATATGGTTGAACACTTGAGTGATTATATGTCTAGAGTTAAAGGTGACCTTAAGCTTATTAGTAAACATGCATCCATGGTTACCACTCAAGTAGAACAAGTACTTAAAGAACAAGACGATTTGCTCAATGAATTAAATAATAAGAACAATGATAATGATGTTAGAGTTATGACTAGAGGTGGTAAAATGACCCAGGAACCTTTGTATACTGAGGGCCATCCTAAGAGAGTTGAGCAAGATTCTCAGAGAACTAAGTTGATGCACCTAGCCATTCTAAGAAAAGAAAAGGAAAATTGATAGGACTTTGCATGCTTCTAGTGAACCTGTTATAGATACACCTGAGAATCCCAATGATATTTCTATTTATGATGCTGAAACACAATTTGGTAATGAACATGAACCTAGTGATAATGTTAATGATGATGTTCATGTTGATGCTCAACCTAGCAATAACAATGATGTAGAGATTGAACCTGATGTTGATCTTGATAACCCACAATCAAAGAATCAACGATATGATAAGAGAGACTTCTTTGCTAGGAAGCATGGTAAAGAAAGAGAACCATGGGTTCAGAAACCCATGCCTTTTCCTCCTAAGCCATCCAAGAAAAAAGGATGATGAGGATTTTGAGTGCTTTGCTGAAATGATTAGACCTATCTTTTTGCGTATGCATTTGACAGACATGCTTAAAATGAATCCTTATGCTAAGTATATGAAAGATATTGTTACAAATAAAAGGAAGATACCGAAAGCTGAAATTCCCACCATGCTTGCTAATTATACTTTTAAGGGTGGAATACTAAAGAAACTTGGAGATCCAGGAGTACCAACTATACCATGCTCCTTTAAAAGAAACTATGTTAAAACTACTTTATGTGATCTTGGAGCCGGTGTCAATGTTATGCCTCTCTCCTTATATCGTAGACTTGATTTGAATAAGTTGACACCTACTGAAATCTCTTTGCAAATGGCCGATAAATCAACCGCTATACCCGTTGGTATTTGTGAGGATGTGCCTGTTGTGGTTGCAAACGTTACTATTTTAATGGACTTTGTTATTCTTAATATTTTCGAGGACGACAGTATGTCGATTACCCTTGGTAGACTCTTTTTTAATACTGTAGGGGCTATTATTGATTGCAACAAAGGCAGTGTCACCTTTCATGTTAATGATAATGAGCATACGATACACTGTCTGAAGAAACAACCTCAAGTTCATAGTATCAATTCTATTGGAAATTTTTCAATGATTACTATTAGAGGTTTTGTCTTACCTATTCCTACTGTAAAAAAGAAATATGATATTCTTAATATTGGGGACATGCATATCCCCGTTGAGGTAACCTAGTGGTATTCGGAAATTCTCTGGTTACATGTTATTCGGAAGTAGTTTGTTAACAAGACTTGATCAACCTTGTTAGTGGATTCCTTTTGATGAGCATGAGATGGATGAAATTAGAAAGCAAAACTCTCTGTACCATCATTTTACTTTCTGTTATTTAGATTAAATAAAGTAAAAATAGTATTTTCTGTCTGTTTTTTGAATTATCCTTGCAATAAAAAATACCCTGAAAATAAAAGTTCTCTAAATGCCCTGAAAATGAAGTATGATTTTTTATAGAATATTTAAGAATTTCTGGCACTTAGAACACACCAGGGGTACCCACCATTTGGCCACAAGGGCACAGGGCACGCCCACACCCCTCGGGCGCGCCCCTGCCTCGTGGACCCCACATGGCCCCTCTCCACTTATTCGAGCACCCACACACTTCGTCTTCCTCCAAAAAATCATCCTGTAGCTCAAACTCGTGTTCTAGCTCAGTTTGCTGCCATTTTCGATCTCCTTGCTCAAAGCTCCATTCACAAAACTGCTTTGGGGGATTGTTCTTCGGTATGTGACTCCTCCAATGGTCCAATTAGTTTTTGTGGGAGTAGTTGCTATCAATTTTGTTGAGTCTGATTCACTTCTATTTCGAGTCACTAAAAATTTCAGAATTTTTTCAGAGAACAAAAATGATGAAGTGATTGCTGCGGGGCTCCTCGAGCCGAAGCTCGAATGATAAGCAGAATGAGGAGAATAAAAAGCCCAAATACAATCTTCCTCGCGTTGTGGAGGTTCGGTCGTGCGAATGGCCTTGTGATGCATTTTTGAGAGCCGCCAGAATTTACGACGACTTTTATTATTTTGCTGAGAATGCAGGCATCACCGACTTCCTCCACGACCAGTGTAAACAGTATCTCCTACTCACTAATATTTTCAAGCAAAACTTTTATTTCCATGCTAGAAAATCACCACCTTCAGTGGAGTTTTACTTATATGATGAGATTAAGGAGATGTCACTCTATGATTTTTGTTTGGTTTGCATGTTGCCCTTTGTGGGCAGCATCGAGGAACCACATCCTAGAGATGTGGATGGATTTACTGATAGAATTGCTATAGGATAAATGAGAAAAGTTTCAGATGCAAGGATTACTAGTATACATTTTCCTGTTCTATGTTACTTTGTAATATTCGCTATTAGATGCTTAATTGGTCGCGGAAATAGTAATCCATTTGGGGGTACCCTTGGGGGACATCCGCCCCGATTCGTTCAGATCTTGTGTTTAGACGTCCAGAAACGAACAAAATATGGGGGTATGCGTACATAATAATAGGAGCACAATTGAGATGATCTGACCGCACAGTAATTTTGTCTTGATTACGACTTCAAAATGTACCCCACAGATTTTAGAGGTGGCAATCCTATATATCTACGTCTAATCTTCAGCCATCACAATCTAACAAATGGAGGTTTCATATGTTTTTAACGGTACCGTAAAAATGCTCATTGCACATGCAAATTTGATTTTAGAAAAATAATCCTCACAGAGAAGTAGAAACAAAGAAGAGAACACACGAGCATGATAGTACCCAACATGTTATCTGTAAATTCAGACTGAGCTTCACTTTTTACCTCCAATTTGTACATTCGCGGAACCAGTTAACCCATTTCATGAGCATTCGTCTACATTACCCTATTTTAAAACTTTGTACCATGTTTCTCTCATGGGTGTCGATTGTAAAATGCGTGCGGCGATGATCACCGTTAGAGGATACCATAAGGATGGCGAGAAGTGGAATACATGGAGAAGAGAAGGCTAAACATGATAGTCCATCCTGTCCTGAGATGTTTACACATTGTTGTTAAAGTACCTACCTAACATGCGGGTCATATCTAATAATAGGCGAAATGCTAAAATGGAGTAAAATCTGGTACAATGTTTTTTAGATGGGACATTTCGATGCAACATCTGCTAAATCGGTAAATACGTGTCACAAAAAATTGCACAATTAACTTGTAAAAAGTGTAATTCACTCGAAACTTTATTACTCAGGCCATGATATATTGCACGCACGGTCTACCTATTATTGATCAAATTAAAGGGAAGTATAATCAAAATAATAATTTAGCATTATCACAACGAAATGGAAGCAATTCCTTAGATATCACACATAGTGCTGCCTGTGGTCAAGCCGTGGGGTAGAAGGGCGAGGTGGCGAGGCCACATGTGCCCGTGGACGAGGGCACGTCCTTTGCGAGGTAGACATATCCTTGTTCACCCCAGTCGTTGCTCCACGAGTTCTTGGCAATCCAGTACTTGTTTCCCTCGCCGGGACCCTCGCAGTAGCCGACGATGGTGACGGCGTGGTTCACATTGGCGGAGCAGGGGCCACGGTAGATGCCGCCGGAGTAGAACTGGAACTCAAAACCGCTGGCGTCAATGTAGACCGTCACGGGCTGCATGGCCACGGCAATCGCCAGCTGACCTTCGTTGTTGGGTGGCACGGCCTTGAAGCCCTTGAGGGACGCCTGGTGGTCGAAGAGGAGCTTGTCCATGTCGCACTTTCCCTGGAATCCGGCGTATGGGTACCTCTCCTCCGACGTGATGCCACCACGGGCGGCCACGAGGGCCATAGCCGAGTCTGAGTGGCCGCCGCCGCAGCCGCCGCTCCGTGTGTCGCAATCCACGAGTACCTGCTCGGACAGCGACACCAGCTCCCCTGTCCTAATCTTGTTCATGCCTTCGATCGCCGCCACCGCCGCGAATGCCCAGCATGATCCTGCCATATTACAATTTTATCCATCCGCACGACGACACGAGTAATTCATTGAGCAACCATGACCATGCATGAGTATATAACTAAATCTGCTAGTAGAAAGTATAGCTTGACCACTTACCACAAGTGCCTTGATTCTTGACGCCGGTGACAGCGCCGCTGGAGCGCCAGTCAACGCAGCAGGGCTTGAAGGAGTGGTAGGGGAGGTAGGTGGGTGACGTGGCATTGAAGCTGGTGGTGTTGAGCCCGGTGAACTGCTGGATGACCTCCCTGGGGCTGAGGTCGCCGAACCTGTTCATACGGACCCCGCCCGAGCCACGGACCTGAAACCCAGTTGGTCGGAACCCGCGACCGACGACGGTGCCAGGATTCTGTTGGTCGAATTGGCCGATGGCGTTGGTGTTGTTCTTGAAGACTTGGAACCGCATCTCCTCCTCCTCATGGCACGAGTAGTGCTTTGAGTACTTGATCACCCACTTGGAGAACCTCTCCCTCACCTCGGACTCCGGCAGCTCAAACGGCGGGGGCGGCGGCGGTGGGTATTTTGCCGCAGCAAGCCATGCCTGCAGGAAAGTGGTGAGGCACAAGAGTAGGACAAGGTAAGGCGTGGAGGAAGCCATCTTGATTAGCTCAGGTTGTATCCTTGTCTGGAATACATGCACCGGACCTCATGCTTATATAGGCGGGCGCCTAGCTAGTTCCATCGCAGCAGCACGTCGTGGGTGGCTGATGTACTGTCGCAGTTTTTTTTTTTCAAACGAGATTTTTGGAAATTCGCGAAACAATGAAATACCGTCTGAAAAAATCAAATTGTTTTGAATTTAAATAAGTGAACAAGGTCAAAGAGAAAATGTATGCACACGTGTGTAGAACTTGCTTAGTGGCCTGGTTCAAAGGAAGCGCATGCTAATGACACTGAGTCGCGGGTTCCATCCCTGTTTCACGAGATTTACATTTTTTTATTTCTATGTGATGTTTTTTTCTCTCGCAACATGGCACATTAGAACAAAGTATACACCAAATATTCTGCTAAATAGTGTTGTGTCCTTTTCGCATTGCACAACTTGAACTAAATGTGAGTTTATGTTACTATAATGTACTCCCTCCGTTCCAAAATAGATGACCAGTTAGTGCAAAGTTGGGTCATCTATTTTGGAACGGAGAGAGTACTTGTTTGCTCATACCTAACATCGATCAGCTGTTGTGCTAGTCATTTGTGCTAGAGAATCTTTCCATGGATAATGCGTTTCAGAAACTAATTTGAGTGTGAGACACCAAGTCATATTTGAACTTCTGTCCATCGGAGAAGAACCATGTATGGTGGCCTGTAAGCGAGCATGTGGTACGACCGAATCATTGCTAGCTAGCTACTATGAGTACGTACTTATATTCGGTTATCAAGTGTACATCACTGAGCCAATTAACTATCCTAATAGATAAGATTATATATAGGACTAAGACGTACCATATCATTCCGTTAAATCGATAAAACACTCATGCAAACCAAACATGACAGTATGTATACCACCGAATCTTCTAAACATAACTCGTACAGAACTGTACTTTGTTCGAGTATTAAAAGGATGACGTTTTTGAATGTTTACTTGAACATTCAACCACTGTAACCTTTTCCATTATATTCTTCCACACAACTAGTACTGGTGCTCGCATTATTTCTGAATTAATTTCAGGATTTCCGGCGATGCGCTATTAGTGGGAGGAGACGTTTTCGTTGACTCAAGATGATATGTTGACTCAGTCTCTCGGAGGTGCTCATATGGGTAGAGTGTGCGTGTGTGCGTTCATTTTTTTTTTGGAAAAGGGGGACTCTCCGGCCTCTGCATCAGGAGTGATGTATACAGCCATCTTATTAATGAAGCAACAAAAAGTGCGTACAAAGTTCCATAGTCTCTAACTGAAAACAATAAAAAGCAGCCCACACAGAGCGCAGAAGGCTAGAAACACTAACTAGCCAATAAAGGAGCCACAACCGGCTGGCTATAAAGATAGGGAAACTAATTGCCTATCCTATTACATGACCGCCATCCAAACCGGTTGAAGATATCCCGAGCAACCATCTCCCACCGGGTAGACCCAGTAACCAAATGCTCCCTGGCCTCCATCGGAGTGAGTAATGACCATGAACGGATCAGCGCCGTAGCTCGGAAGATAACCTGCAAAAAATAAATTCGTGATGATCTGTTAAAAACCAAATCATTTCTGCACATCCAGATGGTCCATATTAAAGCGCAGACTCCAACCCGAATATGTCTTGCTATTGTAGAGTCAAACCCATATAGCCAATTCCCAAATAAAGCATTAACAGTATTCGGTGGAGTTATATTAAAAGCAATGTGGACCGTCTGCCAAAGAACCTTGGCCAGCGGGCAATCAAAAAAGAGATGTTTAATTGTCTCATCTCGATCACAGAAACTACACCTAGTAGGTCCTGTCCAATTACGCTTTATTAAGTTGTCCTTTGTTAGAATAACTTGTTTATGAACAAACCACATAAGCACTTTTATTTTCAAAGGTACTTTGACATCCCAGACACTCTTGGAAGTTGGAATGGAGCTTGTATTAATAACATCAGTATACATTGACCTGACTGTAAATACCCCAGACGTAGTCAACTTCCAGCGTAATTTATCCGGTTGGTCAGAAAGTTGAACCTCCATTAGTCTCCTAACTAACTGGAGCCAAACCTCCCAACGATTGCCCGCTAATGACCGTCTAAACTGAATATTAAGGGGGATAGATTGAAATACCGTTGCCACGAGCACCTCACGTCGTTGAGCAATACGATATAAAGACGGATACTGAATGGCCAGGGGTGAGTCGCCCAGCCAAGCGTCCTCCCAGAAACGTGTAGTGGCCCCATTGCCAATGACAACTTTTGTCCTATTGAACATTAATTGCTTGACTTTCATGAGCCCTTTCCAGAAAGGCGAATCCATCGGCCTAACTGTTACTTGGGACAAAGTCCTAGTCTGGAGATACTTGCTGCGAATGATTTGCGCCCACATAGCTTCCGAACCGCTAGCGAGCTTCCACAACCACTTACTAAGAAGGCATATGTTCTTAACCTCAAGATTCTCAATGCCAAGCCCGCCTTGGTCTTTGGGTCGACAGATGCTATCCCACTTAGCAAGCCGGTATTTTCTTTTAAGCTCATCACCCTGCCAAAAGAAGCGTGATCGATAGAAGTCCAGTCTTTTCCTCACTCCCACTGGAACCTCAAAGAACGATAAGAGGAACATAGGCATACTCGTGAGTACCGAGTTTATCAAAACTAACCGGCCTCCATATGACATGAGCTTACCCTTCCAGCAGCTCAGTTTCTTTTCAAATCGATCCTCGATACACTTCCACTCTCTGTTTGTTAGCCTACGATGATGAATCGGAATGCCAAGGTAGGAAAAGGGCAGACTTCCCAACTCGCACCCAAACAGTTGCCTATAAGAGTCCTGTTCGTCTTTAGCCCTACCAAAGCAGAACAATTCGCTCTTATGAAAATTAATCTTTAACCCCGATAATTGTTCAAAGAGGCATAACAACAACTTCATATTTCTCGCCTTGGCCAAATCATGCTCCATGAAGATGATTGTATCATCAGCGTATTGAAGAATGGATACACCTCCATCCACCAGATGAGGTACTAAACCACCCACTTGACCATGGTCTTTAGCCCTTCCGATCAATATTGCTAACATATCCACCACGATGTTAAACAAAACGGGGGACATTGGGTCTCCTTGCCTGAGGCCCTTATGAGTCTGGAAGTAATGACCGATATCGTCATTGACTTTAATACCCACACTCCCTTTTTGCGTAAAAGATTCAACCTGATGGCGCCAAGCCTCACCAAAACCTTTCATACGCAATGCCTGTTGAAGGAACGGCCACTTGACCTTATCATACGCCTTCTCAAAATCCACCTTAAAAATTACCCCATCTAATTTTTTAGAGTGAATTTCATGGAGCGTTTCATGAAGGACAACTACTCCTTCGAGGATGTTTCTGTCCGGCATGAAAGCAGTTTGGGATTGCTATACCACAGAAAGCGCAATCTGTGAGAGCCTGTTTGTCCCGACCTTGGTGAAGATTTTGAAACTAACATTGAGAAGGCAAATTGGCCTGAATTGCTCAATTCGCACAGCCTCCGTTTTCTTAGGAAGCAATGTGATAGTTCCAAAATTCAACTGAAATAATTGAAGCTTTCCAGAGAAAAGATCATGAAACATAGGTAATAGATCCCCCTTAATAATCTGCCAACACCTTTTATAAAACTCCGCCGGAAACCCATCCGGATCGGGAGCCTTGTTGTTTTCCATTTGTGCAATTGCATCAAACACTTCCTTCTCCGTAAATGGGGCTAGCAAGATATCATTTTCGACAGCCGACAGTTGAGGAACATCCTCAGTCTGAGACTCATCCAAAGTTACACAATTAACCTCTGGTGGTCCAAATAACTGCCTATAATACTCGGTGATGTAAGTTTTTAGATTATCCTGCCCAACAATAGTACCCTCATCCTGCTCAAGTTGGAAGATTCGTTTCTTACGGTGCTTGCCATTAGCAATGAGGTGAAAGAATTGAGTATTAGCGTCCCCTTGAACCACTTTGTGGACCTTGGCTCGCAACGCCCACTTCAACTCTTCCTCACGGAGAAGTTCTTTCAGCCTCTTTTCAGCCTCATGTTTAACCTGGATCTCAGCAGGCAGCAGAATCATAGATTCGGCTTTAGTATCGAGGGCCTGTATAAGAGAAAGGAGTCTATCCTTCTCAATCTTATACATCCCACTTAGGTGCTTAGCCCACCCCCGTAAGAAGATTCTTAGATGTCTTATTTTATTCTGCCAACGCTCGACCGCCGTCGTACCCCCGACCCCCTTAGCCCATTCCCTGGCAACGAGGTCTAAGAACCCTTCACGTTCGAACCAGGCCATCTCGAAAGAGAAGGTGTTTTTGTTTCCCACATAGTTGGACTCCCCGGAGTCGACAAACAGTGGTGTGTGATCTGAAATTCCCCGCGTTAAAGCTTGTACCGTCACCAGAGGGAACTTCTGTTCCCACTACACGCTGGCGAGAACTCGGTCAAGCTTTTCATAAGTCGGGTTTGGCAACGCATTAGCCCAAGTAAACTTTCTACCAGAAAGTTCAATCTCCCTCAGGTCCAAACTCTCAATAATAGTATTGAACATAAAGGACCATCTCCCGTCAAAGTTATCATTATTCTTCTCCTCTTTCCTCCGAATGATATTGAAATCACCCCCGACCAACATTGGAAGCTGTTCGGACCCACAAATTCGAACAAGATCCGCCAGAAACTCCGGTTTAAATTCGAGCTGTGCAGCTCCATACACCGCCACCAAAGCCCAGTCGAACCCATCAACTTTTGACCTAACCCAAAACTTAACCGCAAAGTCTCCCATTACCACACTCCTGACCTCAAGGGAATCACATCTCACTCCCAACAAGATGCCTCCCGATCGTCCACGTGGCGGTAGGCAATGCCAGTCGAAATCAGCACCACCCGCAAGAGAGGAAAGAAACTGTGGAGAAAAATTGTCTCTTCCAGTTTCGGAGAGAGCAATGAAGTCTAATCTGTGCTCCAAAG